TGCCAGAAGAAAGGAACTTAATCCACAAAGCTGACCCATTCATTCATCAATGCTTTTTATTTAAAAGACTATATTATGTGTTCATAACAAAAAGATCTCAAATACCTATTTAAAATACAAATAGACAAAAATGCTACTATCGCACAAAAAAAAAGTTCATTATAGCATAATTGGTCTTAATTGAAATCCTCACATATATTTGATAAAGTTCAAAATGACCTAATTAGGAAAGTTGATGATTCAATATTCTAAAGTGAGAAAAACCAGCACAAATGAGGTATCACAATAAAATAAAAATTTTTATAAAAATCAAAATGCATCAGCATTTTGTTGCTGCATTTTGTTGCATCAGCAAAATCTACAGCTAATAGTAAGACATTACATTAGTCACATTCAGTATCTTTATTTTTTTTCTTAAAGATTTTATTTATTCATTTAATTGACAGAGAGAGAGAGAGACAGCGAGAGAGGGAACACAAGCAGGGGGAGTGGGAGAGGGAGAAGCAGGCTTCCTACCGAGCAGGGAGCCTGATGTGGGGCTCAATCCCACGACCCTGGGATCATGACCTGAGCCGAAGGCAGTCGCTTAACCAACTGAGCCACCCAGGAGTATCTTTAAAGCCTTATTAGTAAATATTTATGTTTTAATAGATTTTCACTATAACTTAAGAAATTTTAAAATGGCAAATGTACTCCTAAACTATTCATCTTATAAGGCCACTAATATTATGAGTCACGTAGGTCATTTTGAGTAAGTTAAGGATGCAAAGTATCAAGTCAAAATTCCAGACACAACAAAAACCTTCCTCAGATTTCTTGTGTTATCATGGGGAGCTCGGGTGGCTCAGTCGGTTAGTGTCTGCCTTCGGCTCAGGTCATGATCTCAGGGTCCTGGGATCGAGCCCACGTCAGGCTCCCTGCGCAGTGGGGATTCTGCTCCCTCTCCCTCTGCCCCTCCCCTCCACTCGTGTTCTTTCTCTCTCTCAAATAAATAAATCTTAAAAAAAAAAAAAGATTTCTTGTGCTATCATAGCTCACAAAACAAATTATTCTAAGTGCGTTAAATCACCAGTAATACTTGTAGTGTAAGCTGAAATTCTTACCAAATTATACTAGCCTATAATACATAAGCTTTCTATTAATTGCTTTCTACACTGATTACTTGATATAATTATTTTTTTTCAATTCCTGGTAACAAAGAACCCTATGGTTTTGGATTTCAATTGGAGATAACATTGTTAAACTTATCATGTAAATATATATATATTTTAGCTAATACACTAAAAACCCCTCAAAGAAATAACACCCAAGTTGCAGTGAGCACACCTAGTCCTCAAGCCTTGGATACCAGATACCATTATCATTAAATAGGACCAGGGCTCCTTGGAGAAATGGCCATTTCCCAGTCTGAGATAGGAAAGCATAAAGTAAATATGGAAAAATGTGTGCTAGAAGGGCAAGAAATATCTAAGACTAATGGGAGATATGTGAAATGGACTAAGGAAAGGACTTGAAAGGATTCATACTGGCCAAATCTAGGGCAGTTTGAGGATCAGAAATAATATGTACAACAATGGACTGTAACACATTAAATATAAAGGAAAGAGGATAAATATGATAATGTGTTATTATACATTGAATGTAAAAGGAATTCATGAGTCCATATTGATATCCTAACAAGGAGGGGAGGCGGGGAGCTCTTCTTTATAGGATAATTCAAAACTTAAATGAGGAAAGAAGAGTAAAATTTTTCAAAAAAACATCATTCTGTAGACCTCAAAATAATAATTCAAGCAAAGATAATCAATGAATGCTAAAACCACCTGAATAACTGGGTGTTGAGAAATATGAGTTTCACACCATCTCAAATTATCATCCCACAGATTATTCATTACAAAGGAGAAAAGATACCTTTACAGTGGAGACATCTGGCGGACACCAACTGAACCTAATGAGCAAATTTAGCATCACTAAAAATAGAACTGACAGTATGTGATACAGTGAAAATCTGTGCTAAGCTGGAGAGCCATACACTGAAAGAGAGGTATAGCATATAAAGATGGCAGGAGACAAGGCTGGAGTGGTAAACAAGATCCAGATCGTGAAGTTAGGATTATGTCCAATCTATGGGTGAAGAAACTGAAATTCAGAGAAGTTAGACAACTTCCTCAAAATCCATCCAGCATCTTGTGATTGGCAAAGCTGAAATTTGAACCAAGTGCGTCTGATTCTAAAAACCCAGATTCTTTTGACTACAGGAGCCTGGCAACCCCAGCCTGATCCTCTGTTCTCCCAAACTCTGCAAAGACACTTGGCCAAAACTTTGATGCCATCATTCATTGGAGGCCATGAGTCAGACCAATAAACCACTCACATGTCTAATTTAAAAAGATGTCTGCCTTTGGCTCAGGTCATGGTCCCAGGGTCCTGGGATCGAGCCCCACATCGGGCTCCCTGCTCAGCGGGAAGCCTGCTTCTCCCTCTTCTCCCCACTCCCCCTGCTTGTGTTCCTGCTCTCGCTCTCTCTGTCAAATAAATAAATGAAAATCTGTAAAAAAAAATAAAGACATTTGCCACTTACAGTTTCTTGAGGAAAAACCCCCAAACCTGTCAATTCACTGGTTATATCTAAAATACCAATATATATTTTGGCAAATCTGTAATTGCATCTGAGAATAGTAAAATTTAGTTTTGTGCAATTTTGGAAGCAAACTTTACTACTCATATTTAATTTCTTTTCTTATTTCCACATTTTGGAGAGAGATCGCCCCATAAGACTAGCAATTTCAAAGAGATTTTAAAAATACAACTTCTAAGAGTTTCAGGCAAATGGGGGCTCCTGGGTGGCTCGGTCGTTAAGCGTCTGCCTTTGGCTCAGGTCATGATCCAGGGTCCTGGGATTGAGCCCCACATCGGGCTCCCTGCTCAGGGGGGACTCTGCTTCTCCCTCTCCCACTCCCCCTGCTTGTGTTCCCTCTCTCACTGTGTCTCTCTCTGTCAAATAAATAAAATCTTAAAAAAAAAAGTTACAGGCAAAAGTATTGGCAACTTATTATCAAAGTATCTTATCAAACAGGAAAAACAAATAACAAAATACTTTTTAGCAAAACTGTACTTAAAATTTTCCAAACTTAAAACATTTTTTCAGAAGTTGTTCCATATCATGAAAAACGAAGTTCTTCCCCTGATGTGTAATCAGGGTACAAATGGTATGACCCTACTGTGTGACCCTGGGCAATGGACTCATCCTAAGGTTCAGATCTGTAAAGTGGTGGTTATAGAGTAGCAATCTGGGGCGCCTGGGTGGCTCAGTCAGTTAAGTGTCTCTTCGGCTCAGGTCATGATCCCAAGGTCCTGGGATTGAGCCCCACATCGGGCTCCCCACTCAGCAGGGAGTCTGCTTCTCCCTCTCTCTCTGTTCCTCCCCCTGTTCATGCTCTCTGTCTCTCAAATAAAATAAAATAAAATAAAATAAAATAAAATAAAATAAAATAAAATAGTCTTTTAAAAAAGTAGCAATCTTATAAGGATTATTGTAAAGATTAATAAAGATAATGGATGTAAAATTCTTAATATCCTGTCTAGAACGTGATAATTGTTCAATAAATGGTTTCTTGGGTTCTTCTATTTTCTGTTAAGCTCATACAATAAGTAGAATCAAATCCATTTTCAAAAAAAAAGTTCCATTATCTCTATACTTTTTTCAAATAAATTAGGAAAACTCTAAATTACGAATCCTGGACGAGGGGTGAGAAACTTGCTTTTGCTACCATCTAGGAGCGTGGCTATGGACCTTAAAGACAAATCCATCATGAGCACCTTTGCCTCAGTGCGTCCTCTCTCCTGTCTGGAAGAGATCTCCAGTCGTCCTTCTGCAAAATGCTTTTCCTCCTCTCTGCTCCCCCACCCACCCACCCACATGTGCCTCTCCAAACCCTTCAGGGGGAGACACAAGCCTTCCCCTACAGAACTTGCAGACCTGCCTCAGCTCTACCCCAGCCAGCCTAACATAGTCTAATGTCTTCTTCCCTGGGTCATTTCAGAACTGCTGTATTACAGGACAGTTGGGGATGAATTTTAAAGGATACGCATGATGAACTGTATGCCGACCCTCCCCTACTGTGACTGCCAGGGATCCTCACACATAACAGGTGCTCTGCTCTACGCAAAGGCATGCGAGACCAGGCACACACAGAGGAGCAGCCTGAGCTGCACCACAGCCCTCCCCTTCAGAGGGCAGCCGGACCTCTGTGTGCAGCCCTCGCTCAGTCAACCTCTCCCCCTCGCGACTGGGCTAAATGGTTCTCTGCTGCCCAAAGGCACAGCGCCCCTGCAGTCCCGCCTTCTCCAGTACTACCCTTCCTGTGCAGCTGTCAGACGGAGCTGCGTTACAATCGGTTCTGGTTTTGTTCCCATCGGTCTTTCTCGTGACCTCTTGCAATCATGAAAAATCAGAGGAAACCTTTTAAAGTCACTGCCTCCATCATTTAAGCCACATGAGTTAGGAAGATACTATGTGTTTCATTGTGGTATCATCAAAGAGCTACTTAGACAACCCCAGGGTGTTTCAACAGGCTTATTAGCACACCACCTGGTACACAGTAGGTACTGAAAAGCATTCATTTGAACAAGCCCCCTCCTCACCATATAATCTTGCCATACCACAGTCAGCCACTAGCTGCCACGGCTCAAAGGCAGGAGCAGGAACGCTTCTCAGGCCACCGGCTCGGAGCCTCTAAGCCGGCCTCCCTGGCCTCTTCGGCAGCCAGACTCCTAGGGTCGGCATCAGGCATGCAGACTGTCCTGGGAGCAGAGACTTGTACAAGCCCTTAGATTACTTCCTGTCTACCTGGAGTCAAAGTTGACACCAGTGGGGTCTTCCACTGTCCGATCTCATAGGCCAAGGATTGACCAACCGCCTTCCAACAGATTCCAACTGCCGGAGGCTGAGTACAAGCTTGTTCCCTTTGGCGCTGCTGACATCACAGTCCAACCATGGAATGTAAGCCTCACCACACCTCACCCGCCCCTCCCCAGCCAGAGGCTTTCATCTCTCTCAATCAACACTTCCCACCCAAATGAGAATTTGACACCTGACAGTCCATCACCTTCACTCCTCGGGGAATCCAGGGAAGACTCCTGGGTGTTCAGCGCGACGTGGGGACATGCTGCCAGGAGGGCCTGCAGCATCCCCAACATGCTAACCACTTCGTCGAGAGAGAGTGGCCAGCCAGTGCACAGTTCTAAAGCACGATTGTCTGAAAATGGCAGTGAATGAGTTCTCTGTAAGGTGAGGTTTTAAGATCAGGGTAAAACTTAATCCGATGAGAAAGTGGGTTGTCTTTTGAGGGGCTTTGCTTCTATTTAAGAAACCAAATTGTGTGTGTGTGTGTGTGTGTGTGTGTGCCCTAATGTGTCCTTCAGTTGACAGCATAACCAATATTTCTTACTGGGCTCAGTGTTATAAGATCAGAGCTCCCTTTCTCCTCTATCGTCCGCTCCAGGAAGATCCTGCCAGCCTCCCTGCTCTTCACTTCCTCACCCTACCTTTCTCTCTGGATCCCACTGAGCATCCCATCGGCAGACTTACATGCATGTACTTCCTCATCACACCTTTCACTCATACAACACATACTCAGTAAAGGTCCCGAGACCACTTAATCAAGGACACAGAAGAAGTACGTGCCCACAGAGGTATCCACAGGGCCTACTAAGCTGCCTCCAACCACTCTGACAGGATTGTATCACACATAATCACACACTAATATTTCAAATATTGCTCCCAGTCTATTCCCTCCACTCTGGCCTCACAAATGAATTAATTCTTTAAACATACCGATACAGAAAGCACTATTAGCCAAATCTAGTGTTCAAAGATTTATAGTTAAGTATGATCTCATATTTCTTCCTCTAGCTACTCAAATGCAATAGCATTAATATTTTGTTTTGCAAACAGTTCTGTATTACACTAACTTTACTGAGTGTTTGCTATGTGCTATGCAGTGTTTTATGTCAGTTGGCATTATAATATGCAATGCTTACAACTGCCCTAGGAGATGGAAAGGAGGAAGCCAATGCACAAAAATTGGTAGACTCCAGGGGCGCCTGGGTGGCTCAGTTGGTTAAGCGTCTGCCTTCGGCTCAGGTCATGATCCCAGGGTCCTGGGATCGAGCCCCATGTCGAGCCTCATGTCCAGCTCTCTGCTCAGCTGGGAGCCTGCTTCTCCCTCTGCTGCTCCCCCTGCTCATGCTCTCCCTCTGTCAAATAAATAAATAAAATCTCTCTAAAAAAAATTGGTAGACTCCAATACTTTTTAAGACCCAGTTGCCCTCTCCTTCAAATTCATTTCAGAAGAGTGATTACTTTTAAGACTTCCTCGTCTCTAGATGCCCCATTCCCTGACATTTTTACACGAAGAACTTGCTAATAGACAACTTCTTAGTCCTTCAGAGAATTTACATCAATTAGTCAGGCTAGTTGTTCTCCGATGTTTTTATTTGCCCTCCCGTGCACAAATAACCAGTACATCTCTCATGCCTGCCTAATTTATTAATACTACTTTCTGATTATACTGTCTCTTCTCAAAGTCTCTGTAAATATGAAGAGTTCTATACTGAAGAGCCTTACCTATGACTGCAGTATGGAATCCAACTTTATCCTGGGTGCAATAATTACTGTTATATGGTAGATGTCCGAAAATGAAGGAGAAAATTGCTTTCACAGTCAATATTTTTTGAAGAAAACACTAAGATCAGGGTATACTGCACAAAGCAGGTTGATGAGATCAGTCTGTACTTTCCTCGCAGCCTTTCCTCTCTGCACAACTTGCCCGGCCCCAGTAGTCTCCATAAGCTTTTACAGGGACAGGAAAATAAGTCAAGAAAGCAACTCCAGCTAAGGCGTCAGGCAGTGATGACACAGACATTAAACCAGTCCCGGACCCACCCATCACTCCAACCCGTGTCACACTCTTTCTCAACCAAATACTCAGAGATTCAGCTGCCGCCCACAGGAGTTGTCCCAGGACAACTGGCCTCTGTGACTAATTAATATATGTACCACTGGAGTGTCCTTCCAAACAGGCAATTTGGTCACTGTGGAAAGTAACTGGGAACAATATTTTGGAGTAGGGGAAGATTTACCAGGAAGCAAAGTTTCAAGGCCTAGCACTTGCACAGGCCCCTGCCAAGGTGCTGAGAAAGACCTGAGTGAGGAGTTTTGGTGATATTTGCAAAAGTGAGATATTTTTGTGTCCTTTTTCATAAAGAAGGCATCCTTATAATATAAAGTTCAACCTCACAAAAATCCAGTGCTCCTAAATTGTACTTTATACAATGCAAGGCTCTCACTGAAAGATAGATGGCTAAAGTCTAAGCTAGTCTGTATTATATTTATTTATGTGATATCAGAAGTTGTTTTTCCCCCAATATGAAAACAAAATTAACTTTCAGAAGGGAGATAACTAACAACCAAGTTTCATGTTAAAAAGAACAAAACAGTTATGTCATATGACATGCCTCCTTTTTAGATATATCTAAAAACACCTTTGGTAACCCATGAGCATCTTTTTTTAAATATATTATCTGACGAGTCTGCATGAATAAGTCTGGAACAGCAATCAAAGCTCTCCCACAGGATCCTGCTGTGCAGCCATGTTGAGGAAAAATACATGTACCAAAAGGTTATGGGCTTACAGCCTGTGACAACTCCTTAAAAACTCACTGATATTTATTATAAACTAGTATCATACTTAAGTGACATAAGGGCCAAGGCAACGTAACCTGCATTGTTACCAAGAAATAATTAAAACATAAAATCAGAGAAGTAAAAATTAAGTAGCAAAAATGACAGTTCTAACACCCCATGTTGTAGCTGAAAGGATTCTAGTCAAAACAGTAAGTACCCGTAAATGGGAAGCCTTTGGAGTAAGAAAGGGGAATCCTCCTGTAACTGCTCAGTCCTCAGATACAGTGTTTCCTCCTAAGGCATTAGGATTCTAAGCCCCTCCCACACTGTTCAGATAATAGGCATTTGCAGAAAGGTCAGGGAGGGACAGTACACCTGCTGGAATGGGAGGGGTGCTCCTCCAGGGAGCGACTTGGTGGCAGCATTTGGCTCAATGACAACAAAACAGAAGCAGTACTAGAAATGCAGCGGAAAAGGCAAATCCCACGTTGTCTGTAAAGCAGCTTTTACCTGAATGTTTATCCACTGGGAAATGAATAAATAAAAAGTTGTATAAGCAAACAATGGAACACTTATCTCCCAATTAGATGAAGCAGGCAATAAAACCACACCAATTACCATCCAAACTGGAAAAACTTCTACTTGTTTAAGCCAATTCTTACAGAGCTGGTTCCTTCTGGGATACATGGGAAGTACAACATTCAAGACATGTACGTAAAGAAAATAGTATTTAGGATTAGCGAAGAAGAATGTGTGACAATCAGGGAGGCTTTGCCCTACCACTGAATTTAAAAATTAGGTTCCCTCCTAGCACCAGTTCTTCCCTTTTGTAGCCTTTATCACAATTTTAACAGTAAATTTACCAAGTAACTATTCATATAATTCCCTTCTTCCTCACTCTGCAGTAAAGCTCAGTGAGGATAGTGGCCATTGTATCCCAAACATAACACAGTACCTGATAAATACTAGGCACCAAATAACTAGTTTCAATAAGTAAATCATTATCTGTAGCTTCAAGCACTATTGACACTTTGACATCTTACACGTACGTACTTGACAGCAGGTCAGCTCTCTCTTCTAAATATCAGCCCCTTCTGACCCAACTGACTAGCTGACATATGCACCTGAATGCCCGTTACCTGGCTACCCCAGACGCTGCATTACAAAACTGAACTTACCTTCTAAAAAAATTGTTTCTGTACTGTCAAAAGCATGCAAAGATAGATACACAAAGTGTCCTTTGTAGCGTTACTTGCAAGTGCAAACATAAATAAACGGAATATCCTAATGGAATAGTATACTACTTACCTTTTTACACTAATGAATGAAGGAGTTCCATCTCTGTGCACTTAAGTGGAACAAGCTGGAAAGCTGCTCATCCTAGGTTATTAAATGACAAAAGAATGTTGCAAAAGGTACTATTTCTGTTTGAGGTGATCATTACACATGCATGTGGTTGAAAACATGTGGGGGAAAAACTACCAGGTCACATAGGGGAGTGGGATTTCTCCTTTTACTTTGGACACTGTTCACATCATTGAGTTTTCTAAGTGAATAATCCCGACACACAAAAAAATTAACAGTTAAAAAGCACTCAGAAAACAGCACTTTTCTGCATTCCTCATCTTTAGTACAAACTTCTCACTCAAGTTCACCAAATCCAAAACTTGGTAGCTCTCCTGGGCTCCTCCTTTCCCTCACTTCTGAAATTTTATAAACAAACACATCTTTATCAATTTTAATTCCTTAGCATTGCTTCTATCTATTCTCTCCATCCCATCCCCTCTGCCTTCATCCTCTCTCTCTCTACAGCAGTCCACTAACTGGCTTCCTTTCCTTCATCTGTCACCCCCTCAACTCCACCTTTGACTTCCAGAACCCACACTAAAAGGAGGAAGCAAGCGAGCAAGCCACAGCACAGACTTAACCCTTCCAGTGGTTCCTTACAGCCTATGCAATAGAGTTCACTCAACTTAGTCTGCCCAGGACACCTGCCAAAATCTCATCTCCCACCATTTCCCCCATTGTGCTCCATATTTTTCTAATAATAAACTTCTTGCAGTTCCCTAAATCTTCCATAATTTTGTTCATGCTATTTCCCTTAGTCTGGGATGTACTTCCCTTTCCTACCCTTGGTGAGAGTAAAATGACTTTTGCTTAAGAACTCAAGCCAAGCATCACCTCCTCCATCAAACTCTCTGCTCATTTTCCCTCAAATGGAATGCTCCTTCCTTTGTGCTCTCCCTAAATCTCCCACTGAACCAATAAAATCAAGTGGGAACTACCATGTATTGCACACTGCTGAGGGCCAGGAACTTTGAAGGCTTTGTGCATTCCACGCTAATGCTATTTTGAGGTAGGTAGGCTTCTGCATTTTATAGCTTATAAAATGTTGAAACTTCTCCCATTTTAGGAATGACAGAATAGAAGTCAGAAGGGTTAGCTGGGAGGGCAGGGGAGTAAGAAATTGTCCAAAACCTTACAGTAAAAAAGAGATTTTGATTCCAAATATTTCCAGCACCCACTATGCTGCATCACTTTTATTAACATTTCATTGTACTTAATTGCTTAAATTTCTCCTTTTCTCTGTAAAATCCTAATCTTGTGGATAGGGACTATTTCTGATTCATGCTTTGATCCTCAGACCTAGTACAGAGCTGGGCACACATCAGGAGCTCATAGATATTTGCTGGACAGTGCAGCTAAGTGAGTCAGGGAGAGCAAGGCCATTACAGGTACAGGATTTGGAGTTACACAGCATGACCTTGAACAAACTTGTATCTCCAAGCCTCAGTTTTCCTAGAAGTGCAACAGTGATGAAAAGAACTTTGTATAGGGCTACTAAAAATATTTAACAAGATGACATAAATACAGCACCTTCCACACAGCCTGGAACACAGTATATTCTTAAAAATGCTGTCAATAGTTACAGTATCAATGAGGAAAAAGAAACTCATTAGAGGGGCGGGCATCAATCAGCCTGTAAGGGCTAAGTTTTATTGAAGTAAGAAACTATCCCAGAATCTTAGTAACTTAAAACACCAAGGGGGGCACCTGGGTGGCTCAGTTGGTTGGGTGACTGCCTTAGGCTCAGGTCATGATCTCAGGGTCCTGGGATCGAGCCCCACATTGGGCTCCCTGCTCAGCGGGAGCCTGCTTCTCCCTCTCGCTCTGCCACGCCCCCCCCGCCCCTGCCGCCACCTGTGCTCTCCTGCTCTCTCTGTGTCAAATAAATAAATAAAATATTTAAAAAACAAAAACAAAACCAAAAACGCCAATGATTTATTTGCACTCACTATACTTGCCCACTTAAGTTCTGGTGATTTACCTCTACTTTGTTCTCACTCAGGAACTCAAAATACAACCTCATCTGGAACATCACTGACTACCCCACCTGGGGAAGGAAACATGGGAAACTGTGGCTCTTAAAGACTTCCACTGTTGGGGCGCCTGGGTGGCTTAATTGGTTAAGCATCTGCCTTCGGCTCAGGTCATGATCCCGGGATCCTGGGATCAAGCCCCACATCGGGCTCCCTGCTCAGCAAGGAGTCTGCTTCTCCCTCTCCCTCTGCCTCTCCTGCTTGTGATCTCTCTCTCTCTCTCTCTCTCTCAAATAAATAAATAAAATCTTAAAAAAAAAAAGACTTCCACTGTTAAGCAGCACACCTTACCTCCTTCCACACTTTATTGGTCAGAGCAACTCACATGATCGTAAGTTTGACAGGAGCAGGGAAATGCAATCTTACCTCAAAAGCCAGAAATATCACATCACTATTGACTACAGTGGGAATGGAAGAGCATTTCTTGGAGGAGTAGGTGCACCAGGTTCAGCAAATGGGATAAAAGCTGAGGGTAGGCAAAAGGGAAGGAATGGACACAGGTGGGCAGAGACGGAACAGTAAGTCAGGTCTGGGGAGGAGCATCTATGGTATGGCATGATGCGGCTGGATGTGGAGACTGCAGGAGCTGGGGCCAGGGAAGACAGGCCGTTTGAGACTGTTAGGGACATTTTCGATGTAACAGTGGTCCTCTGGGTGCTGGGAACCCAGATCGGCATGATATCGGAATTTAATAGGATCGATGTAGGGCTCTTTATATTCCAATAGGAAGTATGTTTGTTCTGTTGTTACTTTGTCAAAAGTGTATTCACATTTTATCTGTCTTCTTGCTTCACAACTTAGAAATAGCAAAATAATTTTTTTCAAAATATTTTTCCCACTTAGATGGAGAAAAAAGTTAACTTCTGGAAACCCAGTGACAATAGGACACTGATCGTCACAAAGAGCAGTTTCTCCTCCCTGGAAGGGGCTATACTACACTACCCAATCCTTGACTGAGTGTGGACAACGAAGCCTTAATGTAATAATTGAAACACTGCCTAAGAAAACGTCCCAAAGACTGAGGCCAGGCAGATGCAGTATGAAGAGAGTTTTATGTATGTGACATTATCTCCACCTGAGTTCCAGAGTCTCTGGTGTCAGCTGAATTTACAGAGCACAGAAGGGGTCACCCTAGCATTTCTTCTGCGAGCATTAGGAGATAATGCCAAAATGCCTGTCCTGTCAAAGACTTGCTCTACTATTCTGTGAAGAGTGATTTTAATTCAAGTACTGATTTCTGCCATAAATGATAACTCACGGAATTTTTTAAAAGATTGTATTTATTTGAGAGAGAAAGAGAGCCCGCACAAGTGGGGGAGGGGAGGGGAGAGGGAGAGGGAGAGAACCTCAAACAGACTCCCCGCTGACCACAGAGCCCAACACGGGGCTCGATCTCACAGCCCTGAGGTCATGGACCTGGGCTGAAATTACGAGTCGGAGACTTAACCGACTGAGCCACCAAGGCACCCCAACTCACAGGATTTTTAAATACAGTGCCTACTTGTAGGCACTGCTCCTGTGTGCACTAACCTCACACACACCTTCCTTTTCTTAAGTGCTTTACAAGTAAGTTGCCCTCAAAACCATTTAACCTTTATTGTGAGAGAGAGATAGTGAAGCAGAGAAAGATGGCAGCACGAGGAGTCAGAAAACCTTTTTCTGGTTTAAGTCCCTGCCCTTAAACTCCTATTTGGCTTAAGGAGTTCTGCCAGTCCAACTTCAAGCTTTCACTCACAGGAGTCTTCTAATGGAAGCAGCCGAGGGCCCAAGCCAGTGCTGAAGTCAATCCCAATATTGTTTTTAACACTTGGCTCTGCTTGTAACTCTCTCCTGAAATGGTGTCCTTTCCACTGAATAAAATCCCAATGTTTGTTGCTCAACCCTTTCAACTGCAAGAGAAATAATCCCAACTCATAAGTAGCTAAGCCAAAAACAAAACAAAACAAAACCCCAAAAGGTATGAAGCTGTCCTCTGGTCCAATGGCAAACTCTGTGTGACAAGAAACCCAGGATTGTTACACTAAACCATTGAGATTTTCAGAGCACTTGTTACTGCACTGTAAGTGAACCTATCCTGACTGCCAGGCTCCCTGCACGTGACTGACCGCATGCCTCAGCGCCCCCACCCCCGCACCTGCTTAACCACCAGGGTGGAACAAGTAGGGCTCTGACTGGCATTAATGGGGTCGAATCCTTGGGCCAGATGAGGGGACCCTATGCAGTGCCAGCCCCAAGTCACAGGCCTTCTAACCCAGCAGGAGAGCAAGGTCTGCTACCAGAAGGGGCATGAGAAAGAGAAGCAATAGTTACTAATCCATAGGATTCCTTCTCTCTAAAACTAATTTCGACTCTGAGTAAACACCTTCTAGCCTATCAGCATAATCAGTGCGCCCATGATGTGTTTTCATTTCCTTGAAAGCAACAAGAAGAAAATTCTCCATACATATGAATACAGTTTTCTCTAAGAAAACCTGCCACAATGTTTGGATTAAACAAGTTATATTTGTTTTATTCAACTCTAAGTGTGGCAAAGATCATGTACTGTTTAGGTTATTTGAGCTCGTTCATTCAAAATCAACTCTTTCCCAGCCTATGAAGACTTGCCCAATCCTGTTTGAAAATTATACAGCCATCACTAATTGCTGCAGACAACTTCAGTTGGCTTCTGAGATTGGATACTATCTTTCCTTACTTCTTTTACACACTCTTATCTATACCACCTTTTCCCTAGTATTGAACACATATATTGTAAACATGCAAAAGACAATGCAAATTTCATTTAGGTTTTCAAAGATCACCACACACTGAACAATAAATACTGTTAGGAACAAATATCTACACAAGAATATCTATGCTAAATTACCTACTATAAATCTAAAAGTAGACCAAATGAAGTTTATATTGCTCAAAGAATAATAAAAAGTAGTTGTTGATATGAAACATTTGTTATTCTCCTATTTCTCTGAACTATGGCAACCCTCGGGGAGAATCTTTACATTCCCTTCCCCAACCCAACACATGTAAACAAACATCAGATATACTTTCCTTATCCACATACACTTGTGAAACCACCTTGACATTGGAAAATGATGTGAGAAATAAACCTTATGGTTTTGTCCCATACCAAGATGAAAACTAATCAAAGTATACATTAAGAAACTACTAAAATAGCCCACAAAGCATCTGTTCCAGCAAAAGAGTCTCACCTCACTACATTTCTTTCATGAATAACTATAAAAATATCTAAGCATCCACACATCAAAAACTTAATCTTACCATTTTAGCCAGTAGAGCATAAATTCAAACACAATGACATAAGAACTATCAGCAAAGTCCTTTACTACATCTGCAATCAGAAACAGTGCTTAAAGCTAAAAATGTATTCAAATCTGACACATAATATATTCAAAAATTCAAACAAAAAAAGGATATTTTCTCTTTATTTAGGAGATGGTTGCTCTTTTATATTTACTAATTTTCCTTAATACAGGCATACTTTAAACTGAAAAAAGAAATCTCTCACTTTGTTTTTGTTCCTTGTATCATGTGGTAAAATAGAAGGTAATGTTTGTTTCCCAACAGAAGCTGCCTTTTCAAGAGTAATGTTACATATTCTTTGTGTGTGTTCGGATTTTTTTTATAGTATCACACTCCATAACTCAAGTAGTCAATGAACTGAGAACTTGATTGATTATAGTCAAGAAATTGCCGATTTGTAGACACTGTGGAAGCCCAAAGGAACTGTAAAGTAGTTATAAAATTTATTATTCGTCACAACTAAGTACGAAATTATCTAAGTGAGTCAAAATGTAAGTTTGTCTTCTGAACAGGAATATAAAAGGTAATGACATGGTAATATTTTAACTAACAACTATACTCCAGCCCTTATTTCTCTCTCTTCAACCTCAGACCCTACATTAACTACCAAACCAGCTTATCCTTTCTACTCATCTATCCAGCAAACACTTCAGATTCAGTTTGAACTGAATTCAACATCTCCTTCCCCAAACTGGCCCTTTTCCTGGGACCCCTTTCTCAATACCCATACCTGAAACCTGGAGGTCTTCCTGTGTTCCCAGCCATCCTCCCATCTCTGCCACATGCAACCACAAGCCCCAGTTGTGCTAATTATGCCACAGACAGCTCAGGCGCCTCCACTCTTTTCACCCCTTTTGTCAGTTGCTAGGTCCTAAGCACTTCTGGATTATTTCTCCACTGTGCTAACTATTCGGTCTTAAATTATGCCCCTCCAAACCATCCTTCATAAATGCCAAGTAATCCTTGTAAATGCTAATTTAATGTTATTCTTCATACTCCCATCCTTAAAAACCTTTAGCCAATTCTCATCACTTGAAGGTGAAGCCAAAACTGTTAAAAGAAGAACAAATAAAGCCCAAAGTTAGTAGAAGAAAGGAAATAACAAAAATTAGAATTGAAATAAATGAAAGAGAGACTAAAACAGAAATGATCAATAAAACTAAGAGCTGGTTTGTTGAAAAGATAAACAAAATTGGCAAACCCTTAGCTAAACTCACCAGGAAAAAAAGAATCAGAAACGAAAAAGATGTTACAACTGATACAACAGAAATAAAAAGGACCATAACAGACAACTATAAAAATTCTATGCCAAAAATTGGACAACCTAGAAGAAATGGATAAATTCCTAGAAACATACAACCTACCAAACTGAGTCATGATGAAATAGAAAATCTGAACTAGCAAGATTGAAACAGTAACCAAAAACATCCCAACATTAACAAAAGCCCACAACCAGAAGCCTTCACTGGTGAATTCTACCTAACATTCAAAGAAGAATTAATACCAATCCTTCTCAAAGTCTTCCAAAAAAACAGAAAGGGGTGGGGGGAGGCTTAAAAAAACATTTTACAGGGCCAGCACTACCCTGATACCAAAACCAGACAAGAATTCCACAAAAAAATAAAATTACAGGTCAATATCCCTGATGAACATAGATGCAAAAATCCTCAAAAAAAAATTAGCAAACTGAATTCAACAATACTTTAAAAGGATCATTCACCATGATTAAGTGAGATTTAGTCTAAGGATGCAAGGATGGTTCAACATCCACAAATCAGTCAATGTGATACACCACAATAGCAAAAGGAAAAATAAAAATCATATGATCTCCTCAATAGATATAGAAAAAGCATCTGACAAAATTCAATAACTGTTTATGATAAAAACTCTCAACAAAGTGGATATAGAGGGAACGTACCTCAACCCAATAAACACAAACTATGACAAGCCCACAGCTAACGTCATACTCAACAGCAAAAAGCTGAAAGCTCAGGAACAGACAAAGATGTCCACTCTTACCACTTTTATTCAACACAGTATCGGAAGTCCTAGCCAGAGCAGTTATGCAAGAAAAAGAAATAAAAGGCACCCAAATTGGAAGGAAGAAGTGGGGCACCTGGCTGGCTCAGTCAAGGGAGCATATGGCTCTTCATCTCAGGGTTGTGGGTCTAAGCCCCACACTGGGTGTAGAGATTACTTAAAAATAAAATTGGGGCAGCCGGGTTGTACATCTCTTGGGCATTCATCTCTTGGTTTTGGCACAGGTAAGGATCTCAGGGTCATGAGACTGAGCCCCACATCAGGCTCTGTGTTCGGTGTGGAGTCAGCTTGGGTTTCTCTCTCCCTTTCCCTCTGCCCCTTACCACCACCCACACCCCACCAACTGCTCATGCTCTCTCTCTCAAATACATATTTTTAAAAATTAAATAAAATCTTTAAAGTAATTTAAAATTAAAAATAAATAAGTAAATTTTTAAAAAAGGAAAGGAGGAAGTAAAACTCACTATTTGCAGATGACATAATGTTTTACATAGAAAATCCTAAAGACTCCATCAAAAAACTATTAGAACTAAGAAATGAATTCAGTAATGTTGAAGGATAGAAATTCAATATACAAAAATCAGCTGTGTTTCTGTACACTGATAACAAACCATCAGAGAAATTAAGAAAATGATCCCATTTACCACTGCATCAAAAAGAATAAAATACCTAATAAAGTTAACCAAGGAGGCAAAAGACCTGCATATTGAAACTAAAAGACATCAGTGAAAGGAACTGAAGAGAACACAAATAAACGGAAAGATATTCTGTGTTCATAGGTTAGAAAAATTAGTATTGTTAAAATGTCCATACTACCCAAAGCAATATACAGATTCAATGCAATCTCCATCAATATTTCAATGGTATTTTTCACAAAAATAGAACAATCCTGAAATTTGCATGG